GATGCCATGATCTTAGTTTTCTTAATGTTGAGTTTCAAGCCAACTTTTGCGCTCTCCTCCTTCACCCGCATCCAGAGGCTCTTTAGCTCCTCTTCACTTTCTGCCATGATAGTGGTATCATCTGCATATCTGAGGTTGTTGATATTTCTCCCAGCAATCTTAATTCCAACTGGTGATTCATATAGCCCCGCCTTTCTCATGATGTGCTCTGCATATAAGTTAAATAGGCAGGGTGACAGTATACAGCCGTGCCGAACTCCTTTCTCAATTTTGAACCAATCAGTGGTTCCGTGTCCAGTTCTCACTGTTGCCTCTTGACCCGCATATAGGTTTCTCAAGAGACAAATAAGATGGTCAGGTACTCCCATCTCTTTGAGAACTTTCCACAATTTGTTGTGATCCACACAATCAAAGGCTCTAGCATAATCAGTAAAGCAGAAGCAGATGTTTTTCTGGAGCTCCCTAGCTTTTTCCATGATCCAGCGTATGTTGGCAATTTGATCTCTAGTTCCTCTCCCTCTTCAAAATCCTGCCTGTACTTCTGGTAGTTCTCGGTCCACATACTGCTGGAGCCTAGCTTGCAGGATTTGGAGCATCACTTTGCTAGCATGTGAAATGAGTGCGATGGTGCGGTAGTTTGAACATTCTTTGGCATTGCCCTTCTTTGGGATCGGAATGTAAACTGACCTTTTCCAATCCTGTGGCCACTGTTGAGTTTTCCAAATTTGTTGGAATATTGAGTGTAGCACTTTTACTGCATCGTCTTTTAGGATTTTGAATAACTCAACTGGAATACTGTCACCTCCACTAGCTTTGTTGTTGCTCAGACTTCCTAAGGCCCATTTGACTTCACATTCCAGGATGTCTGGCTTGAGGTCAGTGACCACCCTACTCAAGAGGTCAGTGAGCATCTTACTACTTCCATGAAAAAGCCACCCATGCAGTATTTCATTAAGCCGGCCACTGTGTGTTGAGCACTGCTGGAAGATCCTCCCGTTAAGACCTTGCAACATCCTACTAACGCTCGGTAGACAATCTCATTTCCTGAGATGACTGCACCGGGCCCCAGTGTCAGGTGGCGAAGGGGAAAGCATCACGTACCACACCATCCTGCCTTCAGCCAGGCTTTCAAGAAAACCACAGCTGCAAGAGCTGGGTTGCCACAATCCCCACCCTTCCCTTCTGAGGCTTGAAGAGTGTCGGGACTTTTGGGCTCATGGGGGGAAAGGCTAAGATAGTCTGTGTGACACAGTGGTTAAGGTGCTGGACTGGGACTGAGGAAGTCCCAGGTCAGCTGTGAAGCACTGACTATCAGCTTATCTACCCCCCAGGGTTGTTTGCAGGGGAAATGGAGAGGACAAATGTTCTGAAAGCCACCTTGTGTTCTTTTCAAAACCAAAAAGGTTGAATATAAAATGGAATACTTATAGAGTAGGAAAAAAGGGGGGTATGGCAGTTTGCTGGCTTAAAGGGGTTAATATCAGGCAAGGGCAGCCTGCCAGGAGGCCCAAATTCTTTCTGAGCAGGTAATGATGGGAAGGAATTGCAGCCAGAGGCCGCTTTTGCTTCTTTCAGGGCAGAAGTGGGTGGACAACCTTCAGGCCTCCGCATGTTGCAGGGCTCCACCTTCCATCATCCCTCTCACCAGCAGTTCAGCTAGCCAGGGCTGCTGGGAACTGCACCTGGGGGGCCACAAGTTGCCTACCTGTTTCTAAGCCCACAAAGGATACAATCCAATGAGAACTTCTGCTGCATAAACACCACTGGGGCCTGCACAAGTGGGACCATCCACTCAGTTATTGATTTTGCCTTTAATCCTCTTGTACAGAGCCCAAGGTAGCTTACATGGTCCTCCCCTAGTCCATTTCATCCTCCTAACAACCCTGTGAAGTAGGTTAGGCTGAGAGTCAGTGATGGGCCTAACATCACCAAGAGGGGACTAGATCCCACATCTCCAGAGTCCCAGTCTGAAACCCTAACTGGTGCACAACATTAACTCTCAAGTTCTTTTGGAAATCTGGTCATTTTGAAAGGAAATTCTTCTATCTTTCAACTGTGTGTGCAGCTGGGAGGGAGGGAGGGAGGCAGGGGTGGGGTGGGGTAGGGTAAACTGATCATCCCTGTTCTGGAGAATGCAGGTCCTGCAGGGAAAGGATGGGTGGCAGTAGGCTGTAAGGATAAGAGAGGGAACAAAAGGCACGGAGCCCTGAGTTTCCTGGAGGAAGAGTAGGATGAGCATCTAGTAAAAATCATAATTATCAATCCTTATGCTGGAATCAGCATCACCCAGCAAAAGAGCCACTGTGGTTGGCCAAGGAAGTGGAAGTCCAGAAGAAATGATGCTGCACTTTGCCACAGCCTTCACCAAACTGTCAGGCTACATCTCTCGTCCTTCTCAGTCACTGGTGCTTTTCAAAACCAAAAAGGTGCACAACTCCCATCATATGGGCCTGTTTCTTAGGGATGCTGGGAGTTGTAGTCTAACACAACCAGAGGGCACCAGGTCAGGCAGGGCAGGCTGCAGGAGAGATGATCCCCTCAACAACTCCAGTGCTAATGGTGCAGAGTGTCCCATACAGCCCACCCACCTTTCTTCTATGGAGCTTTGTCCTCACAACCTCCCAGTGAGCTGGTTGAACTGAGAGAGGCTGGGTTCAGACAATACAATAATCCACAGTCAAGAGTTACATATGGGCTGAGCATGGGTTGTTGTTAAACCAAGATAGTGAGGTTTTGCCTGAACCCAGCTAACAAACCATGGTAAGCAATCCATAGTTCATAATGCAACAGCAAGCCACGTGTTCTCTTGGCCATGGCTTGTTATCCTGGCCATGGCTTGTTAGTGCAGCTGGATTCAGGCAGCACAATAACCCGAGGTTCAACAACAAAACCTACGCAGAACCCTCCAGTGCAAGTTACTGTATTGTTTGAACCCAGCAAGTAACTTCTCCCTCCTGCCCAAGTACTACTCACTCCACTCTGCCCTCTAATCTTAACTGGGTAGGGATTTGAGATTTACGTCTTCTAAATCTAATGCCTTCATTGCCAATCTCATTTGCCTCTTTTAAGCATGATTGCCATACTAGAATGGCATGTACTGAAGATCACTTACCACTTAAAAAAATTTAAAAATGCAGCTCAAACCCTGTCCTTTTGCTCAGACAATCACGGGATGTTTCAAGAGACATGAAAGGGTGGGGTGTTCCTCACCCGTCCAGCTTCCCAACACTGCTTCAGCACACCATCTCAACAACAGTGGCCGCAAGCACAGCACGAGGGTACAACTGATGATTCAGGAGCATGTCAGCTCATCTGATGTGCCAGCATCTCAGCGTTGTGTCCTCAGAAATGCACTGCCCATTTGCTTACTTGGAAGCAAATCCCAGTGAAGTAGGTGTGAGTCGCTCCCAAGTAACTGCAGACTTAAGTAATCTTTTGGAGAACTAATCCACAAACAGGCATTTGGTGCTAAGTGCACTAGTGATTTCTATTTTGGGGTGAGTGCGCATGGTCAGTGGTGCTCACGGAAAAACCAGCCCCCTTGCCCAGCATACAAATATCTAAGTTCGGAGGTGGGAAAGGTCCAGTCTCACATGGACATCCACATCACCCCATCGCTGTTCCCCCAAACTCCCCTTCCTGCCTTCCAGATGCCAGCCCTCCTGGCTCGAGTTGTACGAGCCTCCCAAACACTGGGGCACATAAGCAGGGCTAGCCGGTGCCCTCGATTTCCCCCCAGCCCTCCTGTGTCAAGATGGGGAGCAGCTGGGGCTACCTCTCACGTCAGCACGGTGTGTTTCCAACAGTCAGCACAGGGCAGGGGACATGTGCTCTCAACACCTAACCCTCTGCACACTGCGCACATCCCAAAGGAAGGTGTTCATCTTGCTTTCCGGGCATTCTGCTCTTTGTCCAGCACATCCCAGCCCGGGGAGGGGGAACCCCAGGCTAAGATCTTGTCCCAGGGATCCCAGGGATCCTCCCCTATAACTGACAGGGGTGGGGGGATCCCAGACTAGGATGCCCCACCCCATTTCAAGGCTCTCTTACCAGATGCCTTCCTCTCCATCCCCGCCCCTCCCCCCCGCCCTGTGCCTGGATGGGGGCGGCAGGGCTAGCGTTGCCTTTGCCTAGCACACCTGGGGGCGGGGTTGGAAGGGAGGTTAGGAGAGCCCCTCAGCCCCCGGCCTCCTCCGCTCTGCCCCAGGCGGGACAGCCACTGTCCCAGCCTGCTCCCACAGAGGGTTTGGTGCGGATTCTCCAGCACACCAGCAGCTTTCTCAGGCCGGCCCGACCCCTTCGTCTTCTTTTCTCTCTCCCCAATTTCCCATCCCATCCACCCCATCCCATCTCTGGAACAAGAGCGGCAGGGCTGAGCTCCGATTACAGGAAATGCTTGGTTCCGAGCCTGTTGGGGGCGAGAGTGAGTGCAGAGGCGGGGGAGGGGGGAGGAAGGGGGGGCGCACGGAAAATCCTCCAGTCTCGCCTGCGGCGGGGCTGGGCGGTCGCCTTTCCTCCCGTGCTGCAGCAGCGCGGCAGGCGTCGCCAAGGACGGGGCGTGCAGGGTGGAGATCCTGAGTAACGGGAGCGGGGCAGGGCAGAAACGCACAAGGGGCAGGGGACGGTGCGGGTCTGCAAGCACTTAGCGGGCTTCAAGGAGGGAGCGGGCAGCAGGCCAGCCAAGGGAAGGGGGGCGTGATTAGGATTGAGCCAGGCGGAGTAGTGGGGGGGGCGGTTGTAAATTACAAGAATCGCAGCCAATTCAATCTCGTCCAGTCCGAGTTCATTTGCCTTTCTCGGCGAAGTTATCAAGAGTTGCCAAAGTGTCCCACACGTTCCACTTTGTGTGCGCCCCCCCCCCCACAATGTCCCCTCTCCACCTCCACAGAGGATCCCCCATTAATGGAGTTAGAGGAATAGAGTCGAAGTGCTCCTACTCCCCCCTCCCCGGTAAAAGAAGTGCCACATTGGCCAGCGCGCCGCCTTTTGCCTCGCCTTACCTCTGCTCTGCTGGTAAGTAAAACTCCACCGAGAAACCGAAGAAGCTGCCCGGGGGGCCGCGGAGCACCGTCGGCGCCTCGGCGTCCAGGTTGAAGCCGCAAGCGCAAAGCAGGCTGGAGAGGAGCAGGAGGGCCCGGGCAAGCATGGCTGGGCTCGAGGGTGGGGCGGGAAGACTCCCCGGCTGGACGGAGCTACGGACCGCGAGGAAAACCCCTGCCGGGCGAAAGAGGCTCCCTGCTCGCTCGCTCTTAGCCGTCTTCTTTCTCCAAGCCGCCCGGAACGTGAGGGCTGCGCGCCTCCCCTCTCAACTTGCCCGGGAATGACTCACAAAAGGAGGAGTCTCTCTTCCTCCCCCTCGACGGGACGGGGGTGGGCAGGATGGATCTCATTAAACTGCCAGCGCTGGGAACTCTGGAAGGGAGCCAGGAAGCGCTCGGATGGGGAATATTCGTACGAAAGTTTGGCGATCCAGAGACAGAGAGATACTGGGATTAACGAGAGGAAGGGCAGGGATAACACTGGCGATCTTCTCTCAAAAGAAAGACCAGCATGCGAGAGCTGCAATCGACTTGTTTTTCTCCCTTTACAAAATTGATGATGGTGATGTCACGCTGAGGGTTTCCTTCCTTCAAGAAAGTCGAGCAATTTCGTACAAGTTTGGGGTCGAAAAGGTTCGTTTTGACCGGTTGCCCCGCCTTGAACATGCACACCAAGGGAAGTGAAACGAAATGTACACCCAACCAAGTCAAGGCTTCAAAGTATAAAATGAAAATCGGGCGCGCCGTGTTTGAAAGAGACGCTTACTTCGTCTCTTCCAGGGACACCTGAAATCCAAGCCGGCCGAATGCTGCGTCGGTCTCGTAGAAAGATGGCTCTGGCGACTCGAACGACTCTGCTGAAGCCGATCCGTTTACGGCGGCATCCTGTTTCATTTCTATATTGCCCCATAACCAAAGCTCTCCAGGTAGTGCCCAATGGGGCTTAGGCATTGTCTGCAAAGACGGTAAGCCCCACTGATTTCCATGGGGCTTGCTCCCCGGTAAGTGGGCACAGGATCACAGCCTTTCGGCTCCTCCCCCTGCCTTTTCCCGAAGAGGCATTCCCTGAGTTAAATTCTCCAGCCGCGCTGAGCAATGCCTCCCTTATACCGAGTCAGGCCATGGGGCCACCCCTTGGCGGGCAGCAGCAATTCTCAGCACCGAGTTATCAGAGCCCTTCCGGAGGTACATCTGGGATCATCCATTCTGTTCCACCCTCTGTTGAATTAAGGGTATCCAGACCAATATAAGGGAGTAAGAGCCCTTGAAAACAATGGGGCTTTCTTCAGAGTAGACATGAATTCCATGAACTGTGTCAGACTGAGAGCTGGCAAGATTTGGACCTAATCAATCAATCAATCAATCAATCTGTCTTTCTATTTATTAGATGTACACCCAGCTTTCTTTTTACAATGAACTTAAAGCAGCTTGCATCATTCTCCTCCTCCTGCTTGCCATCTTTTCCCCACAAGAACCCTGTGAGGTAGGTTGGGCTGAGAGTCTGGCTGGCCCAAAGCCACCCAGTGAGCGATATGGCTGAGGAGGGATTAGAACTCAGATCACCTGAGTCCCAGTCCTGTGCTCTTAAACACTACACACCCTATATTATTAGGATGGCATACAATTACACACACACGCACACACACACACACACATTCAAAAACAGATGAACTTCCTTAGGGATTTCTTTGGTTCAGAAACCATTAAAAAGAAAACCCACAGAGGCTTTCTTGTGCTTGATGGAAGTTCACATCAGAATCCTCAGCAAGCAGGCTGGCAACATCTGGTGGAAAGCAGGAAGGAAAGACACACTCTGCACATGCTTTCAGGCACTCTGTTTTGCACATTCCAGGACTGAACCCCTCACTCAAATGAAGTCTTGTTTCAGCTAAAGGAAGCAATTTGGGAAGGGAAAGAAGGTGGGCTGCTAGTTTCAACCTGGAATCCTTGTTTATCCATTATCAAAAATTTATCTCAAAGGAGAGCTGAAGTTGGTAGCTAATGTGGAGCCTCCTCTCCTGTCACTAAACTCTACCTATGTTAAAAAAGATCCTCTGTATGGGTAGCTGGACTGTCGGGGTTCAGGTTCTGTCTCTGCCTCCCGCAGCCTGCTGCCCTCTCTTTGCATTCAGTTTCATACCCCATCATCCCAACAGTTATGGAGACTTCCCCTGCTTGGTGCACTTGAGATATGCTGGCCTGCAACTCCTGCTGATTGCTGGGAGAGATGAAGGAAGCTGCGATCCAATGCAGCTGAAGGGCAGAAGGGATGGGGAGGGTTGCATGGCCATGGCCATCCTGGCTGGGGATGATAGCAACTGCAGTTGGAAGAAGAGCAAGTACCCCCATTTTCATGGGAGGTGTAGCAAGGTATAAAAGAAGGCTCAAATTACAGGGGGAAGAGAGAAGGCCTAGTCTCTCTACTTTTTGTAAAGAACTGCCTTTGCCATTGATATTTTTTAGAAGGTTCCGTGAATCAGGGATGAGGATTGGGATTTCCACTGAGCGCTCTCATCTTTTCTGCCACAATTCAAACCCCACTGAGACAGACATCTGAACTTGTTACAGATGAGTCAGCTCACATCTGTGCTCCCAGTTTGTCTTCCTTGCTTCTCAATTCGGCCCCAGAGCACTGGTGTTCCTCATCCCTCAGCTACTGTCTTTAAAAGGCGCTGTGGAAAGGTTATTTGGTTAAAGTCGGAAGGAGGCAAAGGATGGGGTTTGTAAATTTCAGTGCACCCCACCATGTTTCCCTATCATGTAACACCAGAGACAGACACCTGATCACCACCATGGCTTCTGGAGATCATCCGTGTAATTCCTACACCCCTAGTTTCTTCCCCACCCACTGGCCATTGTTCATCCTGAGATTGGCATGAAAAGTCAACATGCACCACCAGACAAAACTATTTTCCAGGTTTCCAGCTCATTCCCAAATTACCATCAGCTATTGAGTAATAGGGTTTCTTTGGTTCTGCACAATTGTCAGATGAGTTTAAGGGGTTTTTTTGTTTTTGTTTTTTGTCCAACCCATGTTCTGTGCGACAGTGCAAAATTACCATGTGGGTTGTTGTTCTTTTGTTTCAGTATTAAAAAGATGCAAAGATTTATATGGAGAGAAGCATTGTTGAGAAACGCTGGGAAGACCCACTTCTTCACTGTATGAACGAAGAACTTGGTACTGATTCAGTAGCTATTAAATGGAGCAGATCAGATGTGCTAGGTGCTGTAGAACATTACCTCACTGCTAACACTCTTTTCCTCCTTACACTCATATCTGATGGCCTGGCCTGACAGCCTATTTATCTGATGCCGTTCCATGAAACCCGGTGCCACAATATGCTCATCAGTTTCAAGGTGCTACAAGCACTCTTGGCTGCTATGGCCACAAGAGACAAATTGTTATTCCCCCACCCCCAACTCGAGGAGGAGGAGGAGGAGGAGGAGGAGGAGGAGGAGGAGATGGTAGTGACCAGAGTCCATGTCCAGAAATCTTAAATGCTTCAATTCAAAAATGGATTACAGAGGAGCCAGAAAGCGAGGCATGAGTTTTATCAAAGGGGGAAGAGTCAGGTAAAGTCAGTGACAGGGGATGCTGGGTACTTGGGAAAGGTGGATGCTCCTGGTTGTTTGTTCCATTTTGTGTGCACTTGGCAGGCTAGTCAAATAAAGAGCATTAACACCTGGGTATCTTGGGACCAAGTCCCACCACTTCCATAGTCCTCTTGTACACCCTTCTCTTTCTCAGCCGAAGTTCCCCAGGCAGTAGAACGAAATAAGGGCAAGCTAAATCACAAAAGCTTATTATGGAGATGAGCAAATTCAACAACAGTATAGCTGTAAAGTTTGTAAACTGTAAAGCTTGCCAACCTTTTAGTTTGAAAGCAATGCAATGTGGAAATGAATGGTTGCTCAGCCTTTCCCAAGTCTTTGCTTTGTTACTCAGCAGAGTGAAGTAGAGAAAGCAGGGAAGTCCCAGTCCTGGGTCAACAGCAGGCACGGGCAACATTGGTCTCAGCCTCCCCACAGCCAGGCAGGCCTTTGCCTGCTTGTCCGTCCTTTCCAGGCAGGCCCTGGGGTAGGGTGGAGGCAAGAGGCAGGTAGGCAGGGCCTCTGCCTCTACTCTGGCTGAGCTCATGGAAAAGAATGGCCCCCTGCAAAGTTACAAAACATTTGCTTAGGCAAAAGCCTTGGAAAGCATGGCGTGATCATAATAAATAACTCCTTGCCCGGTGAAGGTGAGAATAATAACACTTGTCTACCCTAGAGGACTGCTCTGAGGTTTGCTGAGATATTCAGGAAAAGTGAAATGTGTGCTATCAGTGCAAAATATCAGGACTGAGAAACCGGCGAATCTCAGCTTTGAGAAAGGCACTCTGTGCACACAGAGGGGTCATGTTCTCCTTTCTCTTCCTCCTCCTCCTACCAAGACCAAACTCATTAAAAACCAGTTGTGAGATCATATCCCAGGTAGGATTAATCCCTGTGTGGGAGCATCAGAAGACCATGTTTTCCCATGCTGCTTTGCTCCAGGGTCAGAAGGTGGGTCACGGCAGGTGTGCTTTGACTGGGCACCTTGCAAAGGCTAGAAACTCTCTCTCACTGCTCTGATTTCTCCCAGCTTGATTCTCCCTCATCTCACGTTTCAGGCTGAGGGAAGAGCGGTCTGTTGCTTCTGTCCCCCTCAGGAGCTGCTTGCTGAGGGGAGATTTGAACCAGAAGCTCCCTGCTTGTGGGGCATCCTGTGAGCTGCTGACTCTCTTCAAGGTAATCTTGACAGTGAAAAGGTAATGCAGGGAGAAGCAGGAGTGGTTACACATGGAAATGGGCAGGTTGGGGCTCTCGGACAACTCTCCCTCCCTCTCCCCCTCAGCTGGTCTCCTTTCTCCCCTTGTCAGCAGCTGCTCTTGCTGCTGCTGCTGCTCCTCCTCCTCCTAGCCATCACCACCTCTGGTGCGCTGGACAGGCAGGAAGTCCTGGGGCAAGCAGGCAGTGGCCACTGCTTCTCACCCCACTGCTGCCTGGGCCACGGTGAGAGGCAGGTCAAGAGCAGGTTGCTGCAAGAGTGAGGAGGAGCAGGGCGCATCTGGTGGGGATGTGGGCCCTGGGCAGGTACTCAGCTACACGCTGTGTATCCTCGACGCTAGTCCTGGCTTTCCCAGAGTCCGAAAGAGTGATAACCTCAGAGGACCCAGTTCTGGGCACCAACACAATAACATCCTGGCTGCTCTGCGCCCCTAGCTGGTTCTGGGGACTCACTGGGGAGGGGCCGGCATTCTGCACATGTCTTCAGATGCGAACTTCCTCACCCTGGCTTAAGAAGGAAATGCCTTGGAACCAGGGCAATGCTCCTTCCCCTCAATTCCAAGTAATCCCCAGCAGAAAACCACCTTTGGACTCAGAGCAAAGGTTTCTAGGACATAACGCACCGTTTCAGTGCAGGCGATTGAGAAACTGTCCTGGACGTGCTTCTCTCTGGCTAGGAGCCTGAGTAAGTAGGCTTGTAGCTGCTTTTGCC